TGCAACTTCCTGATTTGGTTCTTCTAATCCATACGTAGAAACTATAAAATAAATATATGTTAACATATGTCATCTTGAGCTCGATACTTATATCAAAACATAAATAACCACCAATGTGTTTAATTTTCTGTTGTAAAGGTGTCATATGTAAGAACACTTCGTCTTTACAGGATCTGATCTGTGTGCCGACGAATTCTGTCGAGTCGAGAATTCTTTGCGATTCCTCGGCAAGATTAACACCACCCATAGCCGCGACATCGTTGATATCATCATCTCCCCTATTCAAAAATGTACGTATACATAAAGCGGCAATAGTTTATGCATTCAGACGTAGTCTAAACATGTTGAAAATAACAACGTACGTATATCCGGCAGATGAAAATGTTTTTTTCTCTTTCTCTTTAGTAACTGGCTTTGGGACGAAAGAAAGCACAACGGCTTTATTAACAGTAGTGGCTGTGTTAACTGTCTTGTCTTGCGTTGTAGCTGTTATCTGTTTAACAACAGTCGTTATAATAGGTGGTTTTTGAATTGTGGGAAGTGTTGGTCTGATTCCAGTCACAGCTGTAGTAGGACTACGAACTACTGTTGTAACAGGTCGTATCTAAACAAAAAGAAAATAATTGTACGTGATTTTTGCCAATTTGATATTCATTAATCTAATCTAAACAACCGAGAAGTGACTGCGCGTACAACTAGCGATATTCCATAAACTTTTTATACGAGCATTATAAATACAGCATTTCTTAATATTTTCCAAAACCACCATTGACTATGGATTGTATGTATATCTCTCATATGAATAAAGTTAAATCATCTATCTTACCAGCCTTTGTTGAACTGGCTGAGCGGGTCGGGGGATTGTAGTTGTAGGTGTAGGTAATAGAGTCATTACTCTAACTTGCGTAGTTGCACTAACAGCAGATGCGGGAACTGTTGCAGCTGCCACAGCAACAGTTGGTCTAAGCTGATTCTGCTACATGGTATTATAAAAGGAACATTAATACTAAAAACAATGACGTATCTACAATATGAAGAGATATAAATAGAGAATATTTTAAATTATACTATAACTGCCTCTAATAATAAAGTCGCTATTACTCGAATTCGCCTACCAATATGTATCGACTAATGTACGTATTACCAAAATTATGCTAAGGATTATAGATAAAAATAAATCTACACGTTTTACCTGTGGTACCACGGGAGTAGCAGATGTTATAGGAATGACAACATTAGCTGGAGGAGGTTTTATCCCCTCTATGACCAATTCTTTGGTCACGAGGGATTGCCGTAAAAATGGCAAACTTTTCTTGAGAAATCCAATCAGGCATGGTTGAGGTGATGCATTCAATAATCTTACAAGTCTATCACAGAACACCTCGGATTCAACTTTAGTATCAATTAATTCTTGTATCAAAGTTCGAATATTTCTCTCCACCGCTTTAGGTTCTCGACTAGACAACTCTAATAAGTTTGCTAGAAATTTGCAACACTTTTCTTTGGTATTATCTGTAGTTTGGCGCTAAAAATAAAAAGAGATATGTAACATTTGCAAATTTTCACATACTTTTTAATTATATTAACTAGGTGTGGTACGTACTGGTGTAGGTGCTTGAACCGTTTGAAGAGTAGTGACAGGTAAGGTAGGCGTAGTTATGGCAGCGGCAGTCACCGTCGCAGGTGTCGTAGTTGCTGTTGTAACAGTTGCAGCCACAGTCTATATATAAATACCAATCATTAGCCATTAGTCAAAAATCTCTATTTACACAAATTTTACATTTAATTCATAATTTTGTTCTATAAGAATAACGAAACTGTGATCGAAAAGTAGAAGCATTTTGCACCACTGCCAAACAAAATATAAATAGCAAATTTTAATACATGAATGATGATTTCGTTCGTGACACAATTTTCTCCTCAAGCAAAATTTCCATTTTTTTTAACTGATTACTTCTCAATGTTGATGATTACATCTCTAGACATTCTGAAGCTCAGTATTAATAAAAGCATTTATGATAATGTATTTCCCACATGCCTTCTGTAACATCTATGAAAATTTTCATATCGCATTTTCTTCTTTCTACTCATATACAACAATCAACTTATCTCTGTATATGCATGCTGATCATCAGATTCTTTAAATGAAAATTTTACATGTTTGATACCTTTTTATCTGTACGTCATTTATGACGGAGCTACATAATTGACGAGTATATTTATACATTAAGGACGCACTTGTACCTTGTACAGACTCTTTTTATTATAATAATATTCCTTACTTGTTGTTTAACGAAGAAATCGTTTTAAATGCTCAGTTTGGGTATATTTTACATTTTTATAATGATATTGTCCGGAAAACATTTTCTATATTAGAATATTAATATGAAAATATCGAAAACAATTTGTTATAGAAGGATTTAGAAGATTAAAATGTATCGTGACACCATTAATTCATTTCCAATTTATATAATACAATGCTTTAGATTATATTTTGAAATTATAATTTCCATTCTCCTTTTATTTAGAAATGCTTATCATATTGAACTATTTTTTTCAAACTGAAGCAAATTAATATAGATTACCCTCAACCAATGTAACATGCAATATGTATGTACATGATAATGCACTGAACTGATAAAATAATTGTACGTTTAAAAAACTCAAAAATTCTACATCAGATGCGTCCCAACAAATAAGTCAATAAAAAAAAACTGTTTATATACTATAAAATCTCTCACTCCTCCGAAGACTATGTTACGAGGTCGAACCGTGCCAAGGGCCCGACGGGTGACCGAGTCTGTCGACTAAGTCGGGTTTAATTAGAGAAGGAAAAAGACGCACAGAGGAACCTACGGAGGGTCAGTCCCTTTTAGCCACTTAGGTAATTGGGTCAGTGTGACTGGGTCAGTCCTGGTTTAAAGGAAGAGTAAAGACACGTGGACGATCCTAATTTAACACTGTGTGTTAACCTCGGTTGCCGCAGGACGTGGACGATTAGGGAGGGTCAGTCCCCTTTAGCCACTTATGTATAAAGGTTGTCGGATTGGCAGGTCAAATTCGTTGATACGTCTCGAGCGGCTAAGACGTATCTTTCGCGAGATACTCCGGTTATCAGCTAATGTGGAATCAGAGTGAAATGAATATTGAAACGAATCTGAGAGTTTAAACTCACAGTCTTATATTCTCTAAAATACTCGATACAATATTCTATCAGTTGGTCAACTCTTGCGGTAAGAGAATTCCTNGTCTAGCGACCTTTTATACCCAAATGAGGCCCTTTCCCGTGGTGGGAGATGATATATTTATATATGCCCATATTTGGGCATATACTAGAAGCTTCCACGCTAAACTCGCCCCGTGAGTCATCCACGCGAGGGATGTGTACGTGATCGGCAGGGCCGTATACATGTACAGGGCTGTATACGTAACAACTAAAAGTTTTTTTTATAAAATTCCGGACACACGTTGAAATGATAATCTTATAATGTACATAAAATATAACTCAAGAGAGAGATTGAAATGCACTCGCGTTTAAAATATTTTGAAGATAACTTCAAAGAATAGAAATAAAATAAGGAAAGAGTAAAAGAATATAAA